CAAAAAAAATCATAAATTACTATATCAATACCATAAAATTCCACTAATCTATCAAGCTTAGTAACTAAACTGTATTTCAGTCTAAACAAGTATAAAATTTTGAGCAGACTAAAGACACAACCTACTTCCTTGAAATCTTGGTTTGAAAGAAAGATCTGGTGTACAAACACATTAAAATGGCTGAGAAAGCCACTTGGGGACATTCTGAGCTTCCGATTGGTTATTCATGTCATATGTAGAAAAGTGTACATAAGGGACCATTTCCAAAAATGGAAAGGGGTGCCACTGTGTTTGATATATTACAGGAGCAATATCTTAGCAAACTGAGTTCATAATTCATACAAAACTATAGACTTAGTATTTTGACATCACAAACATCTAATTTGAACCAGTGCTGCATTCAACATACCAAGTGACTCAAAAATCAATGTTTAACTGTGTTTTTTTATTATTTACTTTTAAATTAAGAAATTGAGTAAGGTATAATACTAAAATTTGAATTATAATATACAGTTTGATACCAAACTGATAAATTCATGAAATAGTAGTTTAATAAAATTTTGAATGCTAGTCAATAAACACGATGACATGGCCTTTCAACCAGGACCTGTCTAGAAAGGGTTAAGATAGTTTTAGCCTCATGCAGAGAAGATAGAAATTAAAGTATCTTATTCTCAATAACTCTATTTCTATCAGCTATACAACTAATCTGTATATATTTCTATCATAATCCGTGATCTGATCAGGAAGCTTGTTGAAAATGCCAATAAGAATTATTATTTTAATGAACCTCAATCTAAAAATTCCACTTTTGTTTTCACTATCCAAAATAAAAGCATTCGATCACCTCCTATGGAAAATATTACTCATTCCTCTTTAATTAGCACTGACCCATGGCCCACAAAATACCTTAAGAACTTCATACAATAACACTTTCTTGATCATTATACAGATTTTGTTATACGAACGGTATACAATAGGCTAACCACAAACAATTCTTCTAATTCTGAAAACTTACTACAAAGACTACTGTATTAATAAAAATAAGCTAAACTTATTTTCAACTCCTTTATAACTAAATATTTTACGATTTTTTTTCAAAAATCCATGGCAATATACACCATTATAAAAAGGTTTAATCTCTATTTAAACTTAGTTTTAAACAGCCTTAACCAAGTCATTATTACTTCCCAACTAATATGTATCACACATTAAAATCTCTTCATTAGCCTTATATGTACACTACCAATCTAACCAGTTTCCCTTATGATCTAAACACATCCTTGGTAATCTCTTGCTTAATCCTTGCATCCTGATCAAAAACCTTGTGAATACCTAACACATACAAGAACTCATGAAAAGGCTATTTCATGTTGTTATTTTTCCTTGTAACTCAAAAATATCTATGGATCTTGTCATAACTGTTTAGATATGCCATCACTGGCATTGACATGCACTATAAAAAAACTTCTACAGTTCTTTTCATACTGCTATTTTCTACACAATATCCACACTTCATAAACTTTATAAGCAAATTATTGTTTTAGTTTTTCCATATACATAGACACCTTTCACCATGCTTAACTAATCTCATACGCTATTACTAAAACATTACAAAATGCACAGTTTAAGCTTTGGAAATCCCAATATTGAAGTGTTATACAGAATATATATTTCTGGTTAGAAATACAAACTTGTAGAATGAATTATCTGATAATGTAGTTAGTGCAGTTATTTTTAACCCTTTTAAAAAATTTATAGATATGAATATGGATGTAACGGGCTACAGTTAAGTTGGACAAAGGAAAATAAATAATTTTTGTTATAATTTCTTTTTAACTTAAGGATGACCTCTATGGGCAAATGGCTTTCTGTCATGTCTTTTCTTCTATTCTTAAAGATTTTATGTTTCCTTTCTTAATTCTAAAAACTTTTTGTAAGTTTGTTTTTTCACTCTATTCTTGCAACCAAGATGTATGGGGAACAAATAAAATACTTAAGCTGATCAGGCAGGAGCTGTTAACTGATGAAGACATGATATTGCATCTCAATAAAACTTGTGATAGCTTGACACTCTTTTCAATGGAACCTGTTCCAGCTACATAATAAACAGTGTTCAAAACAAAAATATTGCAATTTTTATTGTAATATTATTAATGTAGCTTTCTCCTATTGATGCTGCAGTTACTTAACTTCCTCTAGGATCAAGACTAGATCCCTTTTTTTGCCCGTTTTTCTATAATAATGAGCTGGTTGATTCAAGAAATTAATAATCAGTAATATATGAGGATAAAACAATTAATGTTGAAAAATCCTAACCATAATTATGCTGTAATTGTAAATAAAATGGACAAAAAATTATACCTCAACGTAATCAGTTCACACCGTAACATTTGTAGTGAAACAAGATCTCTGAAATTGGGAGAAAAGCTTTCTCTTAAACTCACTTAAATTTACTACCATTACAACATCTGAAGGCAACCCATTCCAGAGGTCAACCACCCTGTTAGAAAAATAAGACTGTCTAAGCTGAAGATGACTCCTACCCTTCCAAAATTTATATTTGTGTCCTCTAGCTCTGCTATTCTCACTGTTAAATATGAAAAAAGATGATCCATCAACACTATCAATTACCTTTACAAACCCTTTAAACACCTTAATCAGATCCCCACTAATTCTAATTTTTTCAAGAGAAAACAATTTAAGAGATTTCAACCTCTCCTCGTATGACAACCCCTCCATTTCAGGCACCATTCTAGTAACCCTCCTATGAACCCTTTTCAATAATTCAATGTCTTTCCTAAGATAAGGAGCACAAGACTGAAGGAACCTTCTTTTCTTGCCAGTGTTTTGAAGATTTTGTTTCTAACTATGGCTTCTCACTTTTTTTTTTTATGAGGGCATTCTGTTTGAAGTTGTGTCATCATGACTTTCAGGGAGCTTTTGATAAAGGGCAGTACATAAAAATTAATCAGAGCATTGAATGAATGAGGGATTGGATGAAATGCTAAAAACTTAGCAGAAAAGTAACTTAATGTAAAAAGACAAAAGTTATATTAAAACGCAATTTTTAATAGGATAACGAGGTTTATTTTAGAACCTTTATTTCTATTAGTTTTTTTTTGGGGGGGGGGGGTATTTTTAAATTCTTCAATGAAACTAACATGTAAAAAAACCCATAAATTCTAATGGGAATGCTTCTCTTATTCAAAAGGACCTTTCAAGTCCTTATGTAAGAGAATCATTGATTTTCTGGGTAGAAAAAATTATTCAAATGCAATTGAATATAAAACCCTAAACTCTGCTAAGTTTTTAACTATAGAGAACAGAGAAAACTAGTTAATGATTCTATAGGTTTGGATATTTAATTAAAGAGCAAGAAAGTTATTCTAACCTTGTGCCAGATCATGAAGCACCTTCATGCAAAATATTGTGTACAATGTTTTCTATAACAGTAATAATATTAACATGGAAAAATTAAGAAAGGTTTATACATCTTTAAATAAGATAACATACAGACAATAAGGGACAATTTTCTCCTTAAGGCTGTCCTTACATACCCACCCTTGAGAAAAGTAAATATTTAAATTAACCTTTTATTTTTAAGGAAATCATTGACTCATCTCTTAAACTCCTAGAAAGTACTGGCCTCCATTACTCCACTTGGCAACTCATTCCACAAGTCAATCACCCTCTTAGTAAAATGCAACTGCGCTACCTTGTTTTTTTCCAATCTTAAACTTTTATACTCTTGTGGTATTATTAAAAAAAAAAAAGAACAGCAAAATCAAACACCCTTATCATGCTGATAAACTTAACTCTTACCCCTTTTTCTCAAGAGCTAATATGTTTAAAATATCTTAATATATTCCAATAATGTAATGTTCTACCCCAAGAATCATCATAATAGCACTTCTCTCAAACATTTCCAATACAAGTCAATCCCCTTTTTTAGATAAGGAGACCAAAATTTTTATACAATATTTGCACTAAGAACTAACTAGTAATTTGTATAAAGATAATTACTATTTTGACTTGTAACCAATATGTCTATAAACACATCCTAAATTCTATTGGCTTTACTACTAGCAATATAGAACTTTTTCAATTGCTTAAGTGACATATCTACTACTTTAACAAGGCCCTTTTCTTCAGTGGTACTATTGAGTGGTTTCCCATCTATATTAAACATATGATATAAATTATGACAACCAAAATGCATTACCTTGAACTTAATATAATCACAGGGCATTTACCAAATATTTGTCCGACTTGTAAGTTTATTTCTAGAGATGAAGAATTAGAGATCTGATTCAGTTTCAATTTGTTAGAAGTTTGAACAATTCCTATTGATGGTATATTTTAGTGGTAGAAAGTAAAATCAGATATACAACATTCAATACTGTGGAGTAAGTTTTATTTTTATGAACTAGTTGCAAGCTTGTTTCTCAACAAATATTTTTAAGTTAAAATTACAAACTTGCTTAATAGTTTGATTGATAATGTGTGTGATGTAAGTTTGAGTATTTTTACAGTTATGATGGGTAGGTATACATACATATAAAATGCAAAATTTAAGTTTTGTTTTTATTGAAAAGCTTTCTATGACCTTGCTTTTTACATTATACTATTATTTTAAATTATCTTTTGATAGCAATTAATGCACTCTGAGTCTACTTCATGTTTCTGCTCCCCCCCCCCAAGTATCCCATGTATTATAGGACAAAAAAGTTGTGATATGAACCCCGGGTATTGGATGAAAGACCTTCTTGGCACTGCATACAACAAACATAGTATAGTTGACATAGTTTTAAATTATTCATTCCTTTCACTCACAATGTTTCATATTGCAAGTCCAATGTGCTCAAAACCCAGAATAATTATATGTGCCTGAGGTAGTACTACTGATACTAATAGTGAAAGTCCTTAGGATTCAAACTTAAACTTTAGCTTGTCTCTAAAAGTCTTAAGTCAAAATTAAAAATATTGCAAATACTTACCTTTCATTTAACTGTTCTTCATTTCCAGGTAATGGGTGAATTACAAAATGAATTGATGTCATTTTCTTTCCTTTTTCTCAACTTCATAGATTAAACCATATGATATTGTTTGTGATTTCCTTCTCCTGACCTGTGTACCTCACGTTTTATGATCTAAACCGTAAAATTATTCAGTTTCGTTCAGTTTGCAAAACGTGGTTGAACAACTACTAGTACTTACTTACCTTAGTTACTTACAACTTACAGCTATAGCCTATATTAGTAATACTATATACTTTTGTATGTTCTGTAAGTTATAAGCCACAATTTCACTTATACAATATATAATATAGTAAGTTATACTACTATTACTAGTTATAAACATTTAATTTTAAATTTTAATAAAATAAAGTTGAACTCTTTTTATCGATAGTTCAATATGTAGCAGGCTACTGAATCAGTGAATAACAAAACAATAACTCGTTAATATGGATAATGACTCACAATTTTCCAGAAACTAGTGTGTCGTAATGTTAACGATGTAGTTTAATTTACTATTTCTATGAGAAAAAGTCGTATCTATATATACTAGAATGTCGCCCAGAAACGAAAATTAGGCTTAACTTACTAAGTCAGAACTGAGTATCATACCACCAGTGATATTTTAACTTCAATATAACAAGTCTATAAGCCTAATATACTAGATGTAACGTACAACTCTACAAGCCGAGATCACATGGTACTTTGGTAATAATAACTACGAAAATAAACCACTTTTAACGCAAAAGTTCAGGGTTTAGGTTTTAAAATATACAATATAATATAAATAGATGAAAATGTATCTTTCTTTTAGCTAATTCCAAACAAGAATGGGATATTTCATTAACGTTTGATTAGTTATAACTTATATGTAACACCTTTCAATTCCCTCAGCACACGGTAAAACTCTAAGCAGCATTATTCCGCGAACAGCGTCATCACACGATTCGCTTATGCGACTAAGACGCCTCAACCTCATCTTGACGCCTAATGTTTTAATTTTTTCTATAGACCAAATATGTCCATACAGTACGATAAATCTAATGACTTTCACGAATAACAAAAGAAAAAAACACCAGAAAATTGGATATTTTCCACAAAATCACTTTTTTCGAGTAAAATATAATAAAAATAAATTTAGAAAACCCAGGAGTGAACTAAACGGCATACTAGGTGTTTTTAACCCCCTTATTGAAGACTCAAGAAAACTGAAAAATGTTCATACTTTTTCATACATGCAAGTATATGTAGATTTAATCGACAACGTTGGTAAAGAAAGCAAGGAAGTCGCAAAGTTCCCTTTGTCCTGTTACTTATTGTACTGAGTCATTCACCTACGTTATCAAGTGACATTCTTATGGTAAATATTTCTATATATAATATGTGGAAATAGACAGCAATCTTTTACACTGGCATACGACCTCATTATTTTTGGATAGGAATGGCAAATCGTGCTGCAAGTAGTCACCTGCCCTGAGAAAAATAGCCCCGTTGTTTCTACCTTCGTATTTTATAGTAGAATTTTTATCACTTGTTCTAGATGTATGCAGTTTTTCATAACATATTGTTGCGTCAGCGAGTCACATGACCACGTGACGCAACGTTTCTAGAATTATCATGTACT